TTTTGCTAAAAGAACTTGAATTAATTATCCCCGATTCCCTAGTTTCTTTTTCATTGTTTCATTTATATTTTTAGGTAAGTTCATGCTTTTTATTATTTCTTAGTTGATATTTATTTAACCCCCCTTGTCTGATTAGAGTGTTTAGGATTTATTTTCTTTTTTATTGTGATTGATACCAAAGCTAAATTTCGAACCGCCTTCCTCGTGAGATCGACTTGGGGAACAAATCTTTCGATTCAGTACTCGGTAAAAAAATAACAATTTGTACACAACAACGTCGACATTCCGATTGAAGAAGAGAAGCCAACAGACCTTGAAGACAAGGACTGAAAGAATATCAACCGCTTAGCATGTGGAATAATTCATTTGTGTTTGTCGAGGGAGAAAGAGTACGCGTACAAGAATGAGAACTCTGCTCACACTCTGTGGAAGGCTTTGGAGGATAAATTTCTGAAGAAAAGCGGCCAGAATAAGCTCCTCATAAAGAAGCAATTGTTCCTATTCGAGTACCGGCATGGCGCATCGATGAATGACCGCGTCACTTCACTCAATCAATTGGTTGCAGATTTGTTGAACTTGGACGTCACATTCAGCGATGAAGATTCGACTCTTATGTTGTTATCATCACTTTCGGATGACATTGAGCACTTATAGACTACACTGCTCCATGGGAAGGACAATGTAACTCTTGCAGTGGTCAGTTATGCTCTGTATAGCTATGAGTTTAGGAAGAAGAACAAACAAGAGACAAAGAATGCAGTAGCAGAAGATGAAACATCGGTTGCAAGAGGTCGATCGAAGAGCCAAAAGAAGAATGGACGAGGAAGATCATGTTCCAAATCCAAGCTTGAAAAAGACGAGTGTGCTTTCTGCCATGAGAAGGGACACTAGAAGAAAGACTGTCCTAAGTTGAAGAAAAAGGGCAAATCTCCTCAAGATGTATGTGTTGCCAAGGGTGGAAGTGAAGATTCAGAATTTTCACCTGTGGTTTCACCTTCATCATCTCATCCAGATGAATGGATTTTGGGCTCAGGATGCACCTACCATATGTCTTCCATAAGGAAGTGGTTCTTCAATTTTTAGGAGATCAATGGAGGGGTTGTCTATATAGGTAATGGTAATGCCTGTAAGATAAGTGGGATAGGTTCAATCCGTTTGAAGAATCGCGATTGTTCCACCAGAGTTTTGAAGGATGTTCGGTATGTGCCGAGTTTGAAGAAAAATATAATCTCATTAAGAGCCTTAGAATCCAAAGGCTTGGTTGTGACTTTCGAGATGGAGTTATGAAGGTTACATTCGGCTCGCTTGTGGTGATGAAAGGCAACAAGAGAAATAATTTGTATTACTATGAAGGCGATACAGTTGTTGGGACAGTAACAGTAGCATATTTCACCAACAAAGAGTCTGAAGCAGTCAAGTTGTAGCATATGCGGTTGGGACATGCTGGTGAAAAGTCCTTGCAAACATTGGCAAAACTTGGACTGTTAAAAGATGACAAAGTGTGCAAACTAGACTTTTGTGAGCATTGTGTTCTAGGAAAGCAGAAGAGAGTGAAGTTTGGAACGACAATCCATAATATCGAAGGTGTCTTGGATTATACTCATACGGATGTTTGGGGACCTTCTAAGACCCATAATTAGGTGGAAGATGTTATTTTGTCACTTTCATCGATCATATTTCGAGGCGTGTTTCGGTGTACACTATGAAGACGAAGGATGAAGTGCTTGGTGTTTTCGCTACATGGAAGACACAAATTGGGAATCAGACTGAAAGGAAGGTCAAGGTCCTACGAACGGACAATTGTGGAGAATATACACGTGATCCCTTTCAAGAAGTTTGCGGAAAAAATGACATTATTAGGCACTTCACCGTTAGACGGACACCATAAGAAAATGGGGTGGCGGAGCGCATGAGTCGAACAATTGTAGAGAAAGTTCAATATATGTTGTCCAATGCTGGTTTTGGCAAGGAGTACTGGGTTGAGGCTGTAACATATGCACAGCAGCTCATAAATTCTTTGTCGTCATCTGCAAAAGATGGTAAAACACCGGTGGAAGTGAAGAGATATCTTTTACATGTCTTTGGGTGTCTTACGTACTATCATGTGAAGGATTCAAAGTTATATCCAAGAGCGAAAAATGCTTTGTTCATGGGAATCATAATTTGGCGTGAAAGACTATCGTCTTTTATGTCTTGAGATGAACAAAACTTTGTTTAGCAGGGATGTTACATTTGGTGAACAATGTATGATAAAGACGACACAAACCCAACAAGTGGAGTTAACACCGAAGCAGGTGGAGATAGATGCAATGATGAGACAACCAGCTATGATCGACGAACCACTATCAAAGGATTCGTCGGATGATGAAGTTAGACTCAAGAATCATTAAATTTACCCATTGCATTGAGAAAGCCAGACGAGAGATTCAACAACCTGCTCGATTGGTGGATATGGTGGCTTATGCACTTCCAATTGTTGATGATGAAATACCTTTCACTTTTCAAGATGTAATTCGAAGTTTAGAAAATGAAAAGTAGAAAAGGGCTATGGAGGAGGAAATGTTGTCTCTACAGAAGAATCAAACTTGAAAGCTGACGCAATTACCAAAAGGCAAAAGGGCGATAGGATGCAAGTGGATATTTGCAAAGAAAGATGAATTTTGTTGGCCTTAGCAGCACAGTTGGATTTAGAGCTAGCTCAACTTGACGTGAAGAAAACATTCTTATACAGAGAATTAGATGAGGAAATCTATATGTCTCAACCAAAAGGATTCAAAATTCTGG